ACAATTTAATTGAATTAAAAATAATTCTAAAAATAGGTGCAAAAGGACTGTTTTGCCCCTACCCAACAATACATGATATTCCAAAACAGTCCTTGTTGCTGCCCTAAAACTTGCGTGATCTTTCATGGATGATTCAAGGTTGCTCTGATGTCTGTTTGGCCAAAAGATGATTTCTTTCTTGTCGGACTCGGCATGACGATCAATTTGATACCAACTTCGAGCCACAGATAGTGCTTTTAGGCCACGATCATGCAACTCGAAATTTGTATAAATCTTGAAACTTCTAATCCATAGTGTGCTTGTTTCTTAATATTTTTCTTTGACTTCTTCACTAAATTTCATTGAGCATGCTGTCACATTCACGTTGCAATAAATGTAGCTTGATTTCGTGTTCGGACGAAGATTTCATCATCTTGGGATTTTGGTTCGAATCTCGAAATCCGGCGGCCGAAATTTACAGAAAATTTGATGCCTTCGTGTGCCGAATCCAACCGTTCATCGTATGTGGGGATCAGACCAAACATAGCCTCGGACCTTACGTACATAATGTAATTGGTTTCACATTGATCGGGTACGCAAGCGCTGTGATATGGCAGCTCGAATGATGCGTGCTGCTGCTGAATTTTCTGCAACTATCTTCACAAATCGTTAAATTCTCTCTAGTTTTTCTACCTGCTCGGGTATCATCACGGGTCGTGCCACATATCAAAACGCTTATCTTGACAAGACGAACATGCTCACCAAATTTGAGCACGATCCGACTTAAGACGAGTGATATACGAGTCTTCGAAGTTGTTGCTCGTGACTATGAAAACAGTCACCATTAATGGTGATTTGGTGCAGGGAGGGTGCATGGGAATAGTGTGAAGCCTACCCTTTTTTGGTAATTTACCCATAACTTTGTCTTGAGACGTCCTTTTAAGACGAAACCTAGGGGCTTTTTATCGCGTCGGATCTAGTGGCGGTGGTTCCATAGCTGTTTGATGCACCGAAAATAGAGTTCTAGTTATAGGGTCCGTTTCAAGGTGATAGAGGCTGATTTTATCAAAATTATTTCTTTATCTGCACTACCTTAGACATATCGGATTACAATGAAACTCGGCAAGTGGCCTTTTGGAGTGCTTAGGAATATTCTAACCTATTTTGGGGCAATTCTGATACTGTCAGAAATTCCACTGGGCATCGAGGACCCAAGGAGCTGAAAATTGTGTTCAAACAGCTTGTCTCGCCGAATGTTGTGCTTCGAGAGAAGAGAGAAGGACAATATTCAGAAAATTTGCTTAGGCTTTATTACTTTTTTCTTTCTAGCCACAGGACCACGTGAATGTCGAGGAGATCCATGCAATGCTGTTACTATGCTCAGACGTTTGGATGCAATGTACAGGTCCATCCGTTGAGAGTTAGGGGGAGAAGAGACTTTTTTTAGGGATCCTATCAAATTCCTCACCCTCGCGTGGATTGTTTGTGATTCTGACAGCTGAGGATTTTGTACGAACCTCGTTAGTCTGAATCAAGCCCGTCTGACGATGGACTGCCATGTTAAAGGAATTTTTCCCATTTAGTTTGGGTTTGTTTTGTTTTGTTGTTGGTTTTGGATGGTCTGCTAAAGGGCCGTTGGTTGGCGTCCATCTGTGTTGTGCACCATAATGTACTTGGAGGGCAAGGTACCTCAGTTTATCAAGGTGACCGGCTTTGGGTATAACTCCTGCCCACTGCTAGCAGTTTCAACAAGCAGGATACCTCCTTTCTTTGTCCAAGGCGTCCCCTGAGGGCTCAATCCTGTTGATGCATAGCAGGCCCAAGGTCTAGCTGACTTGGCTTTCTTGGGGCACTTTTAGCATCTTTGAAGTGTATTCGACCTTGTAAGAATGATGCTCTTCTTCATGAGACTTGTCTTGCCTTTTTGGTGAATCTTCTGTCCTTTGAGTCTTTTTTACAGATGGACTCAGGCTGTTGGAATCTTGCTTGAAGTTCATATTTTGAGTCCTAATATTGTGACACCAAGGATTTTTCTCTTTGAATGCGGGCTGAAGCCGCCTATAGAGGCGAATGCTGCATCAACTTGCTTATTCTCCAAGCGCCCTTTGTGGGTTTTCACTTGGACTTGGGAAGTGGTGCCATAGAGACGGTTTTCACCACCTTCCTTTTATTTAAGACTCTTTTACCCATGAAATTTCTCCACCCTTATTCTTCCATTTTTACTCATAGTGCCCTTTGGGATTTTTACCATGCCCGGGTTTTAATTTTCACGGAACTCTTTTACTCATAGTTTCATGACTATGCCCGTCCATCATTTTTACTCATGCCATTCCCTTGTCCAGGTATACACCATGCCCGTTATTCTTTTTTTTTGTGAAGGCGTGTTTATGGTGACCTGTGTGAAGCCTTTTAACGTCATGCGGTCAGGACATGCACTATAGTTTAAGGTCATACAACTGGACCGTGGTAGTGATGAATGACAATTTGTGGGGGCCATGGAGTGAGTATGGTAGTGGTTTAGACTCACTTTGGGGAGATGACACGAAGCTACCTATGAAAGATGGATGATGTATGAATGGTGGGTGAAAAGTGGTGACCCACTAGCTGACGACGAGTATGGATGGTGGGATGGCTCGCCGTTTTATGAGCACGGGTGAAGCTCATTGGGGAACAATGAATGGTAATGAAGGGATTCACTAGGGAATTATGAAGGTGGTGCACGCACATGGACGAGTTGGTTCGGGAGGACGTGCGTGAAGATGCATGTAAAAGGGCATGTTCGCGTGTGTGGGGTTGAGTTTAAGGTCATGCCTCTAGGACCTGTGCAAAATAGTTTATCGTCATGCGACCAGAACGTGCATTATGGTTTAAGGTCATATAGCTTGGACCATGGTTATGCAGTTTTGAATCATTCAACTAGGACCATGTAGTTTAAGGTCGTACAACTAGACCTCCGCTTAAAGCAAGGAGAGAAGGTACACAAGCATATTAGATAGAGGTGATTAGATCAGAGTAATACGCCCACCAAGATATAAGAATTTAAACTTTCATAAATCCAGCTTAGAGATAACTCTATTTATTACTTTTCTATCTTGACCTCTTTTCTGCAATAGATATCTCATCCAAATGAATGTCATGCACCCTTATCCTTAACTATAGTTTAATAAATGGAGAATAGATAAATAGAAATTAAAGCAATCTGTCACAAAAATTGGAAAAAATAATTATAACAAAGAAATGGTTTTAATAAATTTATTTAAAAAATGACTTTTGCATACATAAATATAGTTTTAAAAGCTATAATTTGAAATATATGATTTGATTGAGAACCAATTTTAATCAATGTGAAATTAGATACTTTATTAATATAAAATTATAATTTTTTAGTATCTTGCCTTTTGAGTAAAATTTCGTTTTCAAACTACAATAGGATAGTGGCTACGTTTTCATTTTATTAAGTAAAAGTCATAATTTTCAAATAATTTCCGCTATTTTCAATAAATATATGGGAAAAATGTGAAATAATAATAACACCCAAAGTTTGTTTAAAAAAATAGGCATGAACTTGTTAAATTCTATTTTTGACTATTATTACTTTGGGAATCTCAAACAATTATCAGAACTCAAAAGAAGTAATATTGACAAGTTTAATATTTTATTGAAGAGAGTGATGATTGAAGTTTTCAAATGTTGTTTATTTATTTCTAGAACATGGGGACACAATTACTAATTTGGCTGCCTAAAGTCTTAGGTAGTAATTGACAATGTGAATGACACTGCGTTCTCTCTTTGTAATTAGAAATACTTACAGTTAAATTTAAAGTTTAATGTTAATTAATGATATTGAACATGATTTTAATTACAATTATAACAATGAAATAACATATTTACAGTTTTTTAGTTAATGTTTTAAGAATTTGTTAGTTTAAAATTGTAATAACATTATAATGCAAATTTTTTACTTTTATTTTTTATTTTTTTCATGGTCTGAGGAGGTTAGCACCCCAAATTTCAGGTCTATAAGTTTATTAATGTAATGGTAATTGAACCAATTAGAGGTTGTAGAGTATATTTCAATTTTATATTAATTAACATTTAAATATTATATTTATATAACAACTTATAAAATTGTAATATTAAAAGAAATAAAATGTCATAATGTCTCAGGTCGACGTTCAATCGGCCTCTTTTCTTGCGTTACTTCCTAAAGAGAATAAATATTAGGTGATCATATTAATAGTTTCAGGTATCCATTTGATATGTGAATGCTACACAATTTTCGACCAATACGTGGCTCCAAAGGGCCCTCTATAGATGTAGATTTATAACATGTGTAAGATACTTGTTGAAAAGTACTTTGTGACTGAGATGACCTTTCTCGTAAAAGAAAAAAAAAATATATAACCATATTATTTTCATTTGATACAGGGAGGTCACAGTTATTATTAACTATTAAATTGAAAATCAGGTGGTTGACAATATATAATTAACGAATCATAAAATTCAAAATAAAATTCTTCGAATATTGTGACATACTTGCATATATTGGATTTTACATATGATTGTAACCTCCATTATAGGAAAAAGTAAAATCTTATAGTATACAATCCCATAAAAGGATTGACCCCTTTAGAAAAAATGAAACCCAAAAGTCTTGTGTGAGCGAGATGGCCTCCCTAAAAAAGAATTGACACCTTCAAGAAAAATGAAGCCGGACTTTTGCCATTTGAAGTCTACTTGTTGATAAATTAATAATAACATGTTAGCGGACTTATAAATTATTATAGAAAAGTATATTATGAGACTATTTATTTTTGGTATAAGGCACTCACAATTAATCTTGACCATTAAATATGAAATTGGATGGCCGCATTTAATCCATTGACCATGCTCAAAAAAGAATTTTTTTCGATTTTTATAACACGCACAAACTATAATTATTTGTGACCACCTTGTATGAAAGATAAATAGTATCATTGTATACAACGACCACTTTGTATGAAAGGTAAATGATATCATTGTATACAACTTCAATTATTATACGCAACTCACCGCTGAGTGAAGAGTGAAATAATGTTACATCTCAAGATTCCTAAAGCATCCAATCTTTGCATGAACAATTATAATCAAAAGATAATTAACCAAATTTCTTCCCGGATTCAACATCAAGAAAAATTTATTTTTTAGTGCACCATCATCTCTCTCTCTCTTACTCTAAAAAGAATCCACACAAGAAGCCATCAACCCAGGCTGCACCACCACCCCCTTGATAGGAAACCCCTTCTCACCACCACAACCAAGCTCCAATCCCTCCCCCAACTCCCACTCCCACTCTTTCTCTCTTTTCCTCCACACCACCACCCCCTCTCTAGACTCCCCATACACATACACAACCCCTTCTCCAGCTACACACTTGTGGGTACCCGCCCCTCTCTTCACCAACCTTCCCACCATATCTCTAGGCACTCTCCCCACCTCGCTCCACTCCCCTTCTCCCTTCAACTCCCACACACACACTCCACCAAACCCATCTCCTCCCACCAAAGCTACATTCCCTTCTCTCTCTACGAGCCCCGAACAGCCGATAAGGCCGCCTGTGGGGACCTCAACCTCCCCCCATATACAACCTCCCTTCCAGTTCACAACCCTGAAGGGTCGAGCTGAGGTCATCCAATACACAACCCCTCCACACCACACGCCCTCTCCGCCCGCCCATACCGCCAGTCGCCCTGCAAGTCTGTCTGGAACTTCACCTGCATGACACCACGAGCCGATCCATGATTTGTACACTTCGACCGTGCGTTCGTAGCCTGAGCTGCTTGCGCCTCCGGCTACACAAACCTGGAAGGAATTTTTACTTTTATGCCTCCCCTTCATTTTTTTCTCTTACAAAATGGAGAAAACTTTATATCGATCCATGGATCAACGTGTGTAGACCCTTAGACCCCTCAAACCGGGGCATTTGTTTAAGCCGAAAACACTCAAACTGTTGTTAAATCAATTTAGGAAAAATGACAGATTTGGTGCTTAAACAATGCATTAGCCTTGTTCTCACTTTTAAGCAGTGATTTATAGGCTCTTCAAGGTGATGAGTTCTTAACATTCTAGATCTCTGCATTTTCCTTAAACCAAAAAAAAGAAGAGAGAGATGTAGAGTTTTAAAAATTCAAAATGGATATTGTTTAATGGCTACACGGTGAGTTAAAAAATATTTAAAAATTAAAAATTTCAGGTTCTGAGATTCCCCTAGCAGATGATTCTGCCATGACTCAACGCATGCATACTGGTCCATGGAAACTTAACCTCAAGAAATGTGCAAATTGAGAGTAGAGAGCATTGTACTGCAAGTTTAAGTACTATAGAGAAATTGTCTTACCATTTTATTGCTTTTTTTTTGTTCTAACCTCTAAGTAGGAAAGGCTATTCTCTGTTATGCCGCATATCCAAGATTTTAAGTAAGACATTGCCGTACATTCACACCAACATTTCTCCTTACCGTATTTACTGTGGACGTCTTACCTTAAGTTGGGGTGATTTACTATGGATGTCTTACAAATTGGGGAAGGCAATAAATGAGACATGATTATTTTGAAGGATGCAGTTTCTATGCAGCCAGTTCGCATATTGTAAAAATGTAGACTTTACAATAAATATATTTTTGAAATATAATTTGATCTTAATTTTTTGAGAATATATAATCTTCAACATGGTGATCATGAATATGAAAAAAAAAAAAACTAAAAATAATAATTACATTAAGAAAACATTTGGACCATTGGTTACACTTGTTTTCAAATGGACCACCTATTTGCATCCATCTTTAAGATGGATACTTTATACCTCTGGACCATCGTATTGTAGAAATGTGGTCCAACCCGCATGAAACAATTTTTTTAGTTTGAATGTGCGTCAACCAATCAAAGTTCACAAAAAGGTCACCTTTGCCAACAAGAACTTTAGACATAAGACATCCCAAATTCTTACCCATGCCCTTAGTTTCAAGCTTGGTTAAATACTTTTTTAAGAAGGAAAGTACGTCATTATCAAAAGTTATGATCTCGGCCGTCCGCCCCACCTCCAAGGAGAGCGATGCTCTTGAAGCGCATATCACATGCCTCGAGTAACAAAACATTTCCCATCACTTTGCAAGCGGCCTTAACCATCTTTTTATTTTCTTTTCCCTCTCTATCTCAACTATTTTCTTTCCCCTCCATTCCCGCTCGACTTTACTCGAAACAAGCCAGCCTTTGTTCGCCCCTCTAATCTCACACAGTGATTGAAGATCTTGCACAATGACAACCAGTGATTTGAGGTCTGAAACTAGAAACTAGAGATAGAGAGAGAAGGGACCTTGTTCATTCCAATCTCTCTAGAGAGAGGGAGTATTTGGATTTTCAAGAAAGCAACTGGGTATACGGAAGCTGAAAGTTGGATTATGTGATCAAGCACAATGTATGTAAATTAAAATTTTTTTTTTCTTACTCTTACACTGGCAAGACCACTAACAATGTCCAATTACGAACAAATAACTCTTGAAAAATAAATAAAAGACATGAAACACAGTTCTCATTTGCTACTACTATTGAATATAATTCATTAAATCAAAACCTTAACTCATTGCTTTATGGGAAGATAAGATCAAATCACAAATAATGATTTAAAGAAATAAAATTGCCGGATATTACCTCAAACGAGCTTAGTATACCTGACACCGAGTCTCCAGTGCTCGGGATCTATGATTGGTCTCTTGATTCTCCTACATATAGTAAAACCCTCTCAATTGCATATGGATCTCAATTTAGAACCAACTATCTAACGTGTTGCCTTAATGCCTTAGTCTTTCTCAAACTCTTTTGGATTGATCTTTGGAGAGATGAGATATAGATCAAAGAGAGATCTACTAGCAAGGGATCTTCTCCTTTGTTACCCAAAAATCAAACTACCACAAGCTAACCTTAGTTTTGGTGTGTCACCTAGAAATGTAAGAGAGAGATGACTTGGGCATGCCCCCTTGGCTTGAGAGAGATTTTGTTTGGAGCGTGCCCCATTTAGAAAAACTTGTAAGAGATCTTCAAGCCTCCAGACTTGAGAAAGATTACTTGGGTGTGCCTCCTTGGCTTGAGAGAGATTTTGGTTGGAGCGTGCCCCATTTAGAAAAACTTGTGAGAGATCTTCAAGCTCCCTGACTTGATAAATATTACTTGGGTGTGCCCATTTGGCTTGAGAGAGATTTTGGTTGGAGCATGCCCCGTTTAGAAAAACTTGGGAGAGATCTTCAAGTCCTAGGTGGGGCGTGCCACATAGAGAGATCTTTGAGAAAGGGGGTGTGCCACCTATAAGAGATCTTTGAGAGAGAGAATAAACCTTTAGAAAGAGAAGAGAAAATAGGGGTAGAGGTTTTATGAGATGAGATAGACTCTTTTTATAGATTTTCTATGCTTTGGGGTTTGCCTCAATTCATAAGGTTAAATCTTGATCGTCGATCTAAGGATACCTGTGGGGTGAGAGATTTTAGTAATCTATCTCTTTGATCCACCATGAAGATTCAAAAAGATGAGCTAGAGTCATATCCTCCATTTTCTTGATTTATTCCCATCAAATATTTAAATAAAAAAAATATATATCTTAATTTCTATTTTGTATATCTAAACCTTTAATCTTGGATCAATCAATCTTCAATATTCACTAAATATTTCAAATATTCAACCTTAAGTTTACTATACCCAAAAGATAAACCAACAAACAAGGGGAAAGCTATCCATATTTTTTTAAATATGGATATTAGAAAGGGTGGCACACCCCACCTATAGGGACCCCACCCAATGGACCCCACCCAAGGTTTCAAATATTCAACCTTAAGTTTGCCACACATGGACCCCACCCAATGGCACATGTTCTAAATTGGGCCCCCATATTTATTGAGGATCCCATATATTTTATTTTGTATTTAAAAATTTTCAATCTTATATTTTATTTAAAATTTTGAAAAATTAATTTCTCTTAATTAATAAATCCAAATGAAAAAAATAAACTATCAGAAGATTCACAAAAATTCAAATAAATATTTTAAAAATCATATATCTTAAAAATAATTAAAACTAATTAATTTTGATGAGAATTAGATCCGTTAGATCTTAGAATTTATCAATATACGAGAGCGCTCCACCTTCAGTTGTGAATCATGACCCACCTAGCTTTCTCAAACTGATCCAGTAGTTCTCATGACCCAAACTCCACTGTCGGGGCTCATGATTGGACCACCAAGGTCAGCTTGGTCCAAAGTTAGCCAGCAGATTATTCAAGTGCTCCACTAAAGATAAAACTCATAATCCTCAGACCATGATGCAACTATGACTCTATGGTATATAGGGGTAATTTCTCGTACATGTACAAGCTTCACCCCTCTGGTGAATCTCAATACGACTATCTATGTACAAGTCATATGTTGATATACCAATGAGATTTTTAGCCATGTTTCTAAAAGCTATCCATCACACGCAAGGGCCACACAGTCCCTTGGTTCTTATCTATACATACTCCGACCTCATTAAGGGCTAACCCACTAAACTCTTCTTGATAGATCCATATACCCAGGTATTTGAGTTTTTCCAAACTCGCCTGGCCTAGTATGTCGAGCCTAGTCCGAATATCGGCACTAGCATTTGCTCAGTGTGGTCCATAAGAAGACCACACTCTCACTGAGTTTATTTTTCACTTTATAAAATGCTCATACAAGCTCTCATAAGACCTTTAAAGGCTACATAAACACAACAAAAGCATGCTCTAATCTCTTTAAAGAAAGTATTTGGATGTTCCATAAAGCAGCTAGGTATAAAAAAGCAAGCCCTAAGCCCTATTTTTTTGATGCCTGGTTCTAGTCAAACTATCTAAAGAGAAAGAATGATCATTTGGATTTCAAGAAAGCATCTAGGGATATGGAAGGTTATTATTTGGTCATTTTCAACTTGCTCTCTCATTATTTATGATTAGGGAATTTTTATTGTGTTACTTAGAATTTTAATGGGTTTTCTCAATTTTACAAGAATTCACTGATAAATGAATTAGGTTAAATTTTATGACAATGAAATTGAATTTATGGGAAAGCATGACGTTACAATTGAGTACAGGGCTGGCACCTATTTTGGCCTTCTTCAATTATACAATGAATTAGATTTTTGAATTTTATGTCGTGGACACAAGCAGTAATACTCATAGAAAACTATAATGTAGACCTCAAAGGATCAATAGACTGAGGTTACTTATACCAAATTCTCTATTTTGGTTACTTCCTTTGATTACTTATACCAAATTCTCAAAGGACTCAAGCAGTAATGCTCATAGAAAACCATTTAGGTTACTTCCTTTGATTATTTTCTGTTTGCAAGGCTGCTTATACCAAATTCCATATTATTTGCTCCTTCAATACTAATTCATGCGGTTTTAGAAGGATATGTTATTCATTTTTTCTTTTAATATGGACTTTTTTTTTTTGTATTAACAAGGCAATATTGTGTTCCATGGAAATTACTTCATGCGTCTCGAGTGTAAAAGTAATAAATTAAGGCAAAAGAATTTTCACACAAAGATCCAGGATTTGAGGAATCCATAAATTTTCCCCAGCATATAGTGATGGCCGTTTTTTTAATATACAGAAGAAGATGAATGCTTAGTAAAGCTGTCCATTTTTTGAAATAGTTAGTGGTTTTCGTATCACTAAAATACAACATGATGCAGATGAAAATTCAAAAAAATCATTTAATTTTGTTTATTATTTTTTAAATGGGTTAGCTCTTTAGTAATTGGGTGGGTGTGGCGTGAATGTTTTAGTTAGGAGCTAGGATAAGCTATTTCTTAGTTGATTTTAAAGAGATAAGTTAGGCATAATTAAGATTTTTCAGGATATACACTTGGGGTACCTTGAGATTATCTAAAATGTATGGGCTCACAATCTAGGAAGAGATTTTTATGGTGAATCCCCAGAAATTCACGTCATAAGGGAATAGGGAGATAAAGAGACAAAAAATAGGGGGAGAGAGTTTTATTGTATTGTGGGTTTTTTTTTTTTATTTGTTTTTTTTTTGGTAAAGTATATTCAAATGGGATAACCCCTCATTGTAAGGATTATAGAATGAGAATGGAATAAATTGAGTTTGTGAAGAGATCGTTTTTGGGTGGATTCCCTTGAAGACATTAAAAAATGCTATATTTTTTCAATCTTTTCTTTTCTTTTTTTATTTTTTTTATTTTTTTCCAATATTATTTTCTCCCTGCATCACAACAAATTACAAACATGAAAAATTCTCCCTGCATCACAACAAATTACAAACATGAAAAATAAAGTTCTTAGTTAAAAAATAAAACGGTTAAATAATAAAGCACTAGATCATGACTAAGGCCTTGTCATTTTTCACCGGTTATAATTCATTTGACAACTTAAACTAATTTAAGCTAAAATAAAAGAATATGAATACCAAATTCTCTGACAAACTAAAATTGATTAAGAAATAGTGAAGTATGAGTATGAAGTTTTACCATAGTTTTAAAAGATCAAATGTAATAGCAAGGTAAAATTTAGAGAGAGAAAGAGAGAGAGGGGGTTCAATGGGGCTGGAAGAATGAACTAAGTAAAATTTAGAGAGAGAAAGAGAGAGTGGGGGTTCAATGGGGCTGGAAGAATGAACTAAAAGATATAAGTAAATAATTTAACATGCTTTCATTCTTTAAAATTTAAAATTTGAGATAGTTTTCCTCTAGTTTCTCTTTTTAAAAGCTTTCAAGTATTCTCTCTCTCTAATTCTTAGAAATTCGATATAGTTCTATCTCTAAAAGTATTGAGATAGTTTCTCTCAAATTTTTGAGATGTTTTCTCTTTAAAAATTTTCAGTTACTTGCTCTCTCTTTAAAACTTAAAATTTGAGATTGTTTATCTCCAATATTTGATATAGTATATCTCTAAAAGAATTTAAGATACTCTCTCTTTCTCTCTCTCTATCAAAAGCTTAATTTGAAATAGTTTTGCTCACTAAAATTTTTGAGAAAGTTTCTCTCAACAAGTTTTCAGGTACTTCTCTCTCTAAAATTTAAAATTTGAGATGGTTTCTCTATCTAAAACTTTTGAGATAGCTTTTTTCTCTGAAAATTTTTAAGTAGTTTGTCCCCTCTAAGATCTACAATTTGAAATACTATTTGAGATAGTTTCTTTCTCTAAATATTTAAAGTATTGTATTTCACTAAAATTTAAAATTTGAGATAGTTTCTCTATCTAAAACATAAAATTTGAGATAGTTTCTCCTTTAAAATTTTGACATATTTTCTCTCGTTACAAAATTTTCAAGTACTTTCTCTCTCTAAAACTTAAAATTTGATATAGTTTCTCTCACTAAAACATAAAATTTGAAATAGTTTCTCTCTAATAGGTTTGAAATAGTCTCTCTTTAAAAAATTCTAGTACTCTCACTTTAAAACTTAAAACTTGAGATAATTTATCTCTTTAAAACTTAAAATTTGAGATAGTTTCCCTCTTTTAGAATTTGACATAGTTTCGCACTGTAAAAATTTTCCTGTATTTTCTCTTTATAAAACTTTAAATTTAAGATAATTTCTCTCTCTAAAAATTTTAAAATAGTTTCCCTCGCTAAAATTTAAAATTTGAGATAGTTTATCACTCTAATTTAATTTCTCTCTCTAAAACATTTTTAGGTGCTTATCTCTACAATTCAAAATATTTCTTTTTAAAATTTTAAGATATTTTCTCTCTCTAAAAATTAAAATTTGAAATAGTTTCTATCTATAAATTTTTTGAGATAGTTTCTCTCTAAAATTGTTTTGTAGTTTTCCTCTCTAAAATTAGATATTGTTTATCTGTCTATTTAAGATACTTTCTCTCTTTAAAACTTAATTTGAGATAGTTTTCCTCTCTAATTCATAGGGTTGTTTTGGTCGAATTAATTGTATTTTATAAAGTAGGTGTCTCCACAATGCTGAATTCGAACTGGAAATCAATTTCTAAAGGTCAAGAGAATGATACATTTTTTTTTTAAGTTTCACTTGAAATGAGAAAAATAATTTATGGCGAAAAATGCTTTTCTGTCCCAAAAGAGTCTTCGGCATAAAAAATAGTTTTAAAAATATATTTTCAGGTATCCAAACCATCCCTAAACGAATATGCAAATGAAATATAGAAAAAATGATCTGGGCCAAAGAAAATCTAAGTTAAAGATGGTCCTGCGTCATTGATATTGATGCCCTTAGAGCAATGGATTCTTTACAATTGCATCGCATTTAAGCGATTTCGGTATCATGTTCATTGGTTAAGCTCAATCTTTTTAAACTCGCTCGGGCCTGGAATCGAGTCGGATTCAGCCTAGCAGTTGTTTAGTAAAAGTCTTTAAAAAAAAAAAAAATTTCAAAAATTTATTTTAAATACAAAATTGTAAAGGAGCAAGTGAAACAAAACTACAAAAACATAAAAAGTATAAAAACAGTAAAAACAAATCAGCTATCGACGTAGAAAAGAAAAAAAGGTTATATAATGGCAAGGCCCTAAACAATTAAATTAAGGGGCACCTCTAAAATCTAATAGGAAAGGTTATTTTGATGTCAAAAATTTTTCAAATCGATCATCTTGATCTCAAGATGTTTGCACATGGGAAAAAATAGATTCTAAATCTTGGAAACAATCAATATTGTAATGTGCTTTTGGACTATCAATTTTCAAGATTTTTCAAATGTTAATAATCTGCTCAATGTACAATATTTTTGAAGCTTTAAAATTTATAATTAGATATAAAAATAAATTTCCAAACAAGCACAAAGATTTTTTAGTACTGAAAAACATATTCCTATACTATTTAAATGTGTATCTTTCTTTGATTGTTTGGGACCTTAGCCCTATACAAACCACACCCTTTAGAAAAACAGATTTGGATGGATGATATTTCAACATATAAAAGGGATTGTATGACTACTCATTTTTGGTCAACTAAAATCTATCATGTTGAAATGTGTCACGATATTTAGAAAATTTTATATTGAATTCTAAGCCCTTGATTTTACATCTAACAGTCCATAATAATTGTACCCTTCTAAACCACACTCTATACAATTCCAAATAAAAAAAGAAAAATTATGAAAGTAGGGTATTGATGTTATTTTAACGGCTGGAGATGCACCCCATTACTCATCTCGGCAAGAAGTATATTCAAGTAAACTTGTCCGTGTTCCCGATCACTGGTTATGCGAGTGAGAATTCAACCACTCAATCTCGAGTTTCAATCCTACCACTGAAAAGGTAATCTTTGATGAAATTATGAGTTAAGAATTAAAAGGTTAGGGCACAGAGAGACTAACCTGTAGGCCATGCTGGGTAACACAGGCGGCGAGAGCAGGCGCGCGTCGAGGAGAGAGAAGAGGCGGAAGGATTCGAGAACCACCAAAAAATGGTTCGCAAATTGAGAGAGAGAGGGAATTGGAGGAAGCGTTTCGGCAGAGGAGCAATCCTCCGACACCAGACACCGGATGGCAGAAATTGGCAGGAAGGGAAGGAAGAAGGGAGAGGGAGTGCCATTTCTTGAGCCTGGGATTGCGAGCGTAGCAATGGTGTCGGCAATCGTGAGGCGCCATCGCGAGGAACCAAGGGGGGGAGGAGAGAGAGAGGGGGGAGATGAGAAGGGAGAGCCAGAGCTTGCAGACTGATCTTGATGTGGCTTGGGTGTCTGGAGGGAGGAGAGAGAAGATGAGAGAGAGGACCTCTGGAGGCAGGGAATCCATTGATTTGGGTTCCACTTGCTTTTCTGGCATCTTTGCTTAGAGAAAGAGGTCTGTTATTGCAGAGTGAGACTGCTGTTATATATATTCCAGCAAAGAGAGAGAGAGAGAGAGAGAGAGAGAGGGCTTAGTAGATAGGGAGATGAGAGCGTGGGAGTTTTGGGTCCTGACGTCATAGACAGAAAACATTTATGAATTCTAGAGAGAGAGAGAGATCAATTGGTAATGACTCCTGAGAGAAAGAGAGGTGTAACTGGTTCTTATTCTAGAGGTGGAGATTGAATATCTAGAGAGAGAGAGAAATTGGATAAGTCTAGAGAGGGAGAGCTTGGATTTGTATTCCTTAGTGGTGAGAAATTAAG